AGGTTAGGTTAGGTTAGGTTAGGTTAGGTTAGGTTAGGTTAGGTTAGGTTAGGTTAGGGCTTAATTGCATACAACTCTGTTTATCACATTTTTTCTTGTAAAATTGAAAATAAACGTGATAATACACTGATAAGATTTTATAGCCTTCTTTTCTCGGATGTAATTCAAAAAAATAGCGATCCTACGAAAAAAAATGATGGATAACAAAATTGTAGTGAATTTGATTTGAAACAACTTTGTTCATCACAATTTTTCTAGTGAAGTTGGAAATAAACGAGTTATTCAATAAACAAAAATCACCCGTTGAATTCAAGATGACGAACTGGGTCTGTCACCCCGGGAAGTTAAATTAAGACTGCCAGTGACCCCCTCAAAGATTTCCGAAAGAAAATTGCCATTAAAAATGTTTGCGTTGTCAAATCCTAAATCGACTGGGGTATTACTGAATTCTCCTAGAGGCGTGAGACTCCTGATGCCGGACCTGCCTTTTCCCATTTTTCTGAATGTCAAATATAGAATTGAAATGAATTAAAAATTTGACAGTTTTGTTAAAAGTATCATAAGACGTTAGGTAAACACAAGAAAATGGTCGGTGTATTTCTGTTAACTCACATCTCCATGATCTCCACTTATTTCTACATAATTATTTGATATCACATATAATTTTGAAGATATTAATTTTTGTCCGCCAAGATAAAGTAGAGTAAAAGTTTGCAGTAGTAGTAACTAAATGTTCTTTTATGTATCTTTACTTATCGTAACATTACTAACAAATGATAGTAACACCTCTTGTGAGGACGATGTTTTACCTGTGTAGTTCAACTAGTAACTTAAGTAACGTGATCTGATTGATTTTAATAAAAAAAACTAAAGTCAAACTATAGTCCGTTCATAATTTGTCGATAGCACAAAATGAGGGCCTAAGTCATAAAACGGTCGTAAAACTCGTAAAATCATAGGCGGAGGTTCCTGAGGTGTTTATAATTTTGTGCAGTGCGTGAGTAACTTTTTTTCATATTCCTACAAACATATACGTACCTTTCGTTCCTGCTTGTTTTGTTTGATTGCTTACGATGGCTTCGTCATCATCATCAACATCATCAAGTTTTACACCGGTACTGTTGCGTACAGTCAGTAAGTCTGTCTATTCACCAAGAGAGAAGACTATTGTTTTGAACGTTCACGATGCTCTGGTTTCTCAGAATCCCACAAACA